AAAAAAAAAAAAAAAAAAAAAAAAAAAAAAAAAAAAAAAAAAAAAAAAAAAAAAAAAACGAGAGTAGGTTTACCATGGCGGTTCTGGCCCCCCATAAGGTGATGGTGGGGGGAGAGGCTTTAGCTATAGCTGTGGGTGGAGGAGAGGCGATGGTGCGGGGGGAAGAGGCTGATCGGGCGGTATAGGAGAGGTAGTAGGGGCGGTGGGTGGTGCGGACTACTCGGGCTGTAACGTCAAGGGAAGGGGCCTATTCCGGATGCTGTGACGTCGGATTGTACTGACGGCATATCGAGCTCCGACGTCATCAGGATGGGTCCAAAAGGTGTAGGTGACAAGCCCAACGTACAGCGCGAGAGGAAGATAATCAAGCATGAACGTGTATTTCTTATTAGTGGATGTAGTGGATCGCGTATCCCGTTTAGCTGCGACCAACGTTGGCTTACTCGACGCAGTACCTTGCCAAGTAATGGAGCTATTATTTCTTATCTATACGGATGTGTTAGCCGTGGCCGATGACTTTTCGCTTCTTATTTAGGCGTATAATGTACCAGTGTAACATTTTTTTCTCGAGAGCGGGCGTATCGAGTGATGCGAGCTGTCAGAGAAAACATATATACTATTTCATTACCAAAAGTAAATCGCGTCTCCCTTTTGATTCCTCAACGCTTGCTCACTCATTTTTTTTTTTTTACGCAGTACCTTACCGATGAATATAGCTATCATTTCTTATCTATATGCATGCATTAGCCGCGACCGATGATTCACCGCTTCTCACTTAGGCATATAATGCACCAGCATAATATTTTTTTAGCAAGAGCGGGCGTATCGAGTGATACGAGTTGCCAGAGAGAACATGTATACCATTTCATAACCGAAAGCGTATCCCAACATTGCTTGGCTTACTCCTCTTCACCGCAGTACCTCGCCAACGAATAGAGTCAGTTAATACGATAAAGTTATTTTAATCGGCGCAGTAATAAGGAGGCGTGAATGAAAAAAATCGACATAGATTCATGAAGAACCAATTAATTGCATAAGTATTGTGTATCAGGTGTACATTGATTAAAAAATATCGTTTTGTCGTTGCTGCTCTTTTAAAATCCATTTTTTTCAAGCTGTAGCATTCTTCATAGCACAAGGAGCTGAATTAAATTGGTGATTCATGCATTCGATATCATCCATACTAATTTTTTTTAAAGCTGGACATTGCTTAATATCATAAATGTACCTATAAAAATAATTATATTATGCAAATATGTAGTAAAGCGTATAATCATACTATGAGTAATGTACCTATTAAATAGCACACGGCGCAACCATTAGATTTTTTCAAGACCTTTTATGTAAATAACATTATCTTCTTTAATAATTGCTCGAAAGGTTGTAGCTAGATCCTCGTAGGGAACTTCTCCCGAGCTCCAACGAAGACCGTAGTAATTAAACTCCTACCGTATCGATTTTCACATTTGTTCTTAGGTAAGAGCTGTGCCCAAGAATATGGGGGCTTAAAGACAAAAACTGACGGTGTAGAATTTTCTTGTAGAGGTATAATAGCGACCTCTTTAAAAGTAAATTCGTTGTGCATGGTTTTAAAGCCTTGAACATCAACCACGTACTTTGTCATCTTAACGTTGTGACGACTATGAGTTAACTAACCCCTCTATCGATGTGTCATCTCTTCATATAAAACTGCTAGTCACCGCTAGTTATCACTCGTATCGCTTTCGCAGAGGCAAATTAGTATAAAAGAAAAGTTCAAGCAGCTTGTCATTTATTTGAGTACGTTAACGCGAGCTGTAAGTATAGTGGAGCAACTCCGCGAGAATTTTGCTAACGCCAACGCCGTGGAGCATTACGTGATTTTCTGCGAAATAGCAGCGCGAATAGAATATCAACGCTT